GAGGGCAGTGAATGTACAAATGTGCTTTACACAATTGATGTATGTATGGATTGTGATAAGAATTGTATGAGCCCCAATAAAATGATTTTTAAAAGAAAATATTTGGAGGGGGTAAAAAAAGACTTCAGGAAGAACACTCCCTTGGACAAAGTGTATGAGGGATGCGCCTATCTATGAAAGCTGGCTCTTCTCTGGACCAGATAAAGCAAAGGGCTCTCTGACACTGGCCCTGCTTTTCAATTCACCCTGAAGTAACTTCCAGAAAACAATTGTTAAAACATTTGACCAGCCAAAAAAATGATCTAATCATTCTTTGCACTCGCGCGCTCTCTCTCCTTCACACACACACACACACACACACACACACACACACACACACACACACACCCGGTGTTGATGGTAGCCTAATGGATCCTCATTTTACACACATGAAACCAAAGACGGGCAAAGCCATGGTTATTGGACACCAGAAAGAGCTAGCTCTGGTCAGGTCTCCAGTTAGTGAAAATGGAGTTTTAGGACCCAGGTTTAGCATGGGCTTTGAGATAACACAAACCAGAGTTGGATTCTCAATGTTCCTGTTTGCAATATGTGTGTCTCATACAAGTAGTAGAAGCTTTTACACTAGAGATAATAAACATATCGGCTTTTGAAGATTATCATGAAGAAAAATTTAATAATACTTTGAAGCACATAGCACTGTGTAATGCACATATATTACTATTGCATTTACTTTTGTTCTTGATGATGAGCTTTCTATAATAATCCCAGAAACTCATTCTCAACTTTCTTCTTTTTAAAAAAAAAATCATTTTATTGGAGACTTGTACAACTCTTATCACAATCCATACATCCTTCCATTGTGTCAAGCACATTTGTATATATGTTGCCATTATCATTCTCAAAACATTTGCTTTCTACTTGAGCCCTTGGTATCAACTCCTCATTTTTTCACCTCCCTCCCTGCTCCCTTCTCCCCCATGAACCCTTGATAATTTATAACTTACTATTCTTTTGTCATATCTTACAACATCCAACGTCTCCCTTCACCCATGTCTCTGCTGTCTGTCCCCCAGGAAGGAGGTTATATGTAGATCCTTCTAATTGGTTCCCCCTTTCCACCTCACTCTCCCTCCACCCTCCCAATATCACCACTCTCACCACTGGTCCTGAGGGGTTCATCTGTCCTGTATTCCCTGTTTCCAGTTCCTATCTGTACCAGTGTACATCTTCCAGTCCAGCCAGATTTGTAAGGTAGAATTGGGATCATGATAGTGGGAGGGAGGAAGCATTCAAGAACTAGAGGAAAATTGTATGTTTCATCATTGCTACATTGCACCCTGATTGGCTTGTCTCCTCCCTGCAGCCCTTCTGCAAGGGGATGTCCAATTTCTGACAGATGGACCCTGCGTCCCCACTCTGCACTCCCCCTCATTCAAAATGCTATGATTTTTTTTTTTTTTGTCTTTGATGTCTGATCCCTGATCCCTTTGACACCTTGTGATCTCACAGGCTGGGTGCTTCTTCCATGTGGGCTTTGTTGTTTCTCAGTTAGATGGCCACCTGCTTATTTTCCAGCCTATAGGACCCTAGATTCTGTATGTTTTGACATCCGGGCACCATCAGCTTTCTTACCCACATTTGCTTATGCACCCACTTTGTCTTCAGTGATCATGTCGGGGTAGGCTGATGTGCTTCTTCTAGGTGGGCATAGTTGTTTCTTAGCTAGATGGCTGCCTGTTTATCTTCAAGTCTTTAAGACCCCAGATGCTATATCTTTTGATAACCGGGCACCATCAGCTTTCTTCACCACTTTTGCTTATGCACCCTCTTTGTCCTCAGCGATTGAGTCAGGACAGGCTGGTGTGCTTCTTCCATGTGGGTTTTTTGTTTCTCAGCTAGATGACTGCTTGTTTATCTTCAAGCCTTTAAGACTTCAGTTGCTATATCTTTTGGTAGCCGGGCACCATCAGCTTTCTTCACCACATTTGCTTGTGCACCCATTGTCTTCAATGATCGTGCCAAGAAGGTGAGCATCTCAGAATTGTTAGAACAAAGTGTTCTTGTGTTGAAGGAGCACTTGAGCAGGGGCCCACTGTCCATCTGTCTCCTTAATAATAAACCTATAAATATATGTACATAGATCTATTTCCCTCTCATCATATATAAATATATTTACATCTGTATATGCCTGTATTTAGAGCTTCTGAATATAAAAATGTTAAACATTATGCACTCTTACTTTTACATGACTACTTGTATATTTCATTCTCAACAGAGGAATATTTTGAATTCTTAGTAAAGAGGCTTAAAAAGGAGGAATTTTTTCCTTAGTGCCACAAACAATATTGTGTTATTTGATTATAATTTTAATTGAAGCAAAGCTTATAAAGATGTACTCACAAGTTTGCAAAAGGTTGTGTATTAAAACTCTGGTTACTAAATAATCACTATAATCAAATAACACTTTCCCATAAATAGTCTGGTGTTCAAAAAGTACCCAATTACATAATCTCCTCCTCCATCTGAACTCTAGATATATGGTGTGGGCAAATTACCAACGTCTGAATATTGTGAAAATATATGGCCCACGTTAAACACTCTGGGCTCTATTGCATAATTTACAAGCTCAGCAGTTGCTAAGGAAATAATGTCTTCTTTTTAAATGTCATGTTCTTTACCTTCTAAAAGCTGACGATGTTTACTATAGCAGCTGTTCCTTACAGTTTGTTATTCAATACATTTCAGTGAGAAAATGTGACATTTTAGAACACAACATTAATTCCCATGATATCAGAGCTACTTTGAAGATTAGGAGATTCAATGAGGACCTAATAAAAAAAAAACCCTTCAGTTCATTATGTATTGAATAAGATGTAACCATTTAACTTGTCTCTGCACAGATTATGAACTAGACCCAACATTGTAATGGATTGCCTGAAAATATGTCGATTAAATCATAGGAAGTAAAATTTAATTCCAAGGTTTCATAAATATCTTACTTCAAATTGAACATTAGTGACTTGAGTTTTTATTTACATTTAAATGTTTTTACAAGCCTCTGTAAATGCTGTGACAGCTTTTGCACTAACTCAACAATAGCATGTAAAGTTCAGATAGTCTCTAGCCATTATATCATTTTTATGAGGATGTTATTACTCTTGATATAAATTTCCACATAGTATAGTGCATACTGGATCCCAGAAAATCATCTAAGTGCCTGGAAGCCTAATAGTGTTCCGGTTTAATAAATTACTATTGTGGAGATTGAGCGGTTTCATTCTGAGTTATATACATCCTTTCAATTCAATTTGCTTTCTATAATGAAATTAATAAGTATCATTTATGTACAGTAATCAAAACAAAAATGTATCAAGCTTTATTCGAGGTAAAGGATATTAAAAGGACTAATTGGTTTAGTATTTTGAAACAATCATAATGGAAAGAATCATGACAGTGGGATGTGTACAGAAATTAGTCATGGAATGGAACCCTGGGTGCCAATTCTGGTCAGAGCCTGAAATGAACCTGAGCAGTTCTCTGACATCTCTGGAATTTAATTTCCTTACCACTATTAGTAAGTGATTGTCTGTTCTGACCAATAAAAGGATTGATTTTTTAAAACTATAGAAAATGCTGAGTATTAATAAACTAATTGAACTAATATGTTTTAAAAGATTCTTATAGGATTAACAAAACCTGCAGCATACTCAATTATCAGTATGCCATTGTCCATCAAAATGTTATATATTTGTTAACATATATTGTCTAGTCTCATCTTCAAAACCGTCTAAGCATCCGTGTACTATGGGGATTTATAACTGTAAGGTATAAATTAAGGTCATTTTAAAATATAAATAAATAATTATCTTTCCACAGAAACCTGGAAATGGCCCAAACCTGGGTTAATGTGAAAGTATTTGGGAGGAAATAAAATGAGCAATTACATAAAATAAGATCTTCTGGTCCAAATCTAGATTTAATCTTGCACTGTATACATAGTGTGAAAATACAGTGTACTAAGAGTTCATCTCTTTTGTTGGTCTTTTTGCAACAAAAACAGAAGGATTGCGCTGTGTGCTATCATCTGAACTCTTCAGCATTTAGGTTAACCCTCCCTGCAGCGTTCCAGCCAGCTGGGAGCTGCTTTAGACCCATGGGATAACTTGACACAAGACACAAAAGTGAGCCACGAGGGAAAGAGAAAGTTACTGCAGGGAAAGCAGACCTCCTGAGCTGCAACACTTACTGGTTTTCTGAACACGCCAAGAAGGAAGTTCACAGAGTTTCAAATGCAGGAGCTTTACTAGACCACAGCAACTTCAAGCTATCGAAACATTCTCACACGTAAACATTCTGACATAAAGAAGACCCAAAGCTGTTGTTTGCAACAAGAAATATCCTTTTCACCCAGTGATGCCGCCGTGTTCCTGGAACATTCAAAGAGTTCCATGGTCAAGGTTTAATAGTCTTTAAACCCAAGTAACCCTTCGGGGGTGGGGGGGGCGAGGGGGAGAGGGGGGACAGGCCTATAATGTTTCCCTGCACACACACATACACTCCCCCCACCAGTTTAGATCCTATATAACAAATACTGAATCTGATGTTTCCTGGTATCCACTAGCATCTTTGCAAGCATATAGAAAGTTGCAAATCAACCTAGGTAGTGAACTGTTGGCTACAGGAATCTTAATCCGGCATCTTTGTTTCAGCCTCCGACCTGGCTGCAGAACAGGGGCAGGTTCTTGTGATAGCCACCGCGGCTGTTGGAGGATTCACGCTCCTCGTCATCCTGACTTTGTTCTGCTTGATCACTGGGAGGTAACTGAAGCCTACTAGACTATGTCCGAGATTTGCGCGCCCTCAGTATTGTTATACATTGTCGATTTAACTGACAGGTCAGTCTGTCTCCATAAAGATTTACAGCCTTAGGAAGCCTATGGAACCTTTCTACTCTGATCTAGAAGGTCACTAAGAATGGGACTCAACTTGATGAGCGTGTGTACTTCAATGACTTAACCTTCAGGAAAGTGCTGCTGTAGAGACGAGAAAGACTTGACCCTGGCAGTGAGTTAGACTTGGCCCTGGCAGTGCGTTTTATGTGGGGACACAACCGCCATGGCTGGTTATCTTTGTCCACGTACCCCTGACTATGGAGACATTCAAAGACTCGGTAAGAGCAGTTGAAAACTCTTGAAGGGTAAATACAAACTCCAGAAGTGACTTCTTGAAGCATTCCTTTAAGATCACTAGTGTAGAAAGGATTTTTTTCTTTTACTGTATTTGCAAAAAAGGATTTTTCTTGGAAATGTAATGTAATAGAAGCTGAACAACTAATATCAAAGCTTCTGTAGTTGCTAGGTTCTGTCCAGTCAATTTCAACTCACAATGACCCCCAGGTGAGAGAGCAGAATTGCCCCATAACATTTTCAAAGCTGGGATCTTTTCCAGGAGCAGAGAGCGAGGGGTTCCAATGTCATGATGTAACTGAGGAGGGATTGTTTTTAATGAGGGAAAACATTTATTTTAAAGAACAGAATAAATCATCATAAACTTATTTAAATAGATGTACCAATGTGGGCATACATGGCACTCCTAAAGGACACTTAACCGGCACTGTTCCTACTATTCTCCAGTTTTTCTCCTAGAGCTAATCCCTGAAAACTCTTTGCCAAAAGCCTACCTTTGAAACAACCTCCTTTATAAGGGACAGAGTGCAAACTGTCGTCTCTAACCCAACTCATCTTTAGCTGGTGCTTGTTAGGTGCTGTCAGCTTGGTTCTGACCCATAGCTACACAAAAAGAAATCGTAGCTGCTTGTTCTGATGGTACTCATAAGGTTTTCCTTGAGCAATTTTCTTCAGAAATAAATCGGCAGGTCCTTCCTCCTCGTTTGTCTTAATCAGGAAACTCCAGTGACCTTACCCACCATAGATGGCCCTGGTGGCATTTAAATGACTGCTTCCAGCCTCACAGCAACCCACAAGCCATACAATACAGCAAAGTGGCGGGTGGATCTGTTGTTGGCTTAGAAAGAAAATTACTAAAGCTTAGGAGCCCGGGTGTATAGTGGTTCTGTCTTGGGCTGCAATTCTCATGGTTGGCAGTTAAAACCACCAGTAGCTCCGCAGGAGAAAGTCTGGGCTTTCGAAACTCACAGGTGGGTCCCTCTGAGTCAGCACAGACTGAATGGTAGTAAGTTTGAGACAGCCTTGGTTGTGCAGTGGGTTATGCCTTGAGCTGCTAGCTCAAAGGTTAGCAATTTGCATCCACTACCCATTTCATGGGAGGAGGGGAGTATCTGCTTCTAGAAAGATGAATAGCCATGGAAACCACAGAGATTGTTCTATTCTGAACCATAGGGTCGCTGTTGGTCGGAATTGACTGGATGGAAGCAACTTTTGCTTGTGGAGTTTAGTCTACAAGTATTAAATATGACCTTATTCACTGGCAAGAGTCAACAAACAAGCAAAGACCCTACATATCCTAGCATAGGTCTAAGCTTGTTCACGCAGCAAAACAAAAACTCTCCCGATTTAACTAAGATATTTTAGCATGAAAAGAGAAGTTATATAACAAGGCTTGCTAGGCCACAACTACAACAAAATTATTATATTGAAAGAGAAAAAGTGAAACTTTTTAAGAAGGAAAGAAATTAGAAGTCAAAGCATTTTGTTGCACATAAAGTCACACTGGCACTTGGTTAAATAAGAAGTAAGTCAAATTACCAAATCATTGTGGGCTGCTGTATGCTACAAAATTCATATTAGAAAAATAGTAGTAAGTGGTAGTATATACTACACTGTATTCTCATTTTCCTCTATACCGCAAATGCCTTCTATACATTGTGAATTTTGCAGCATCAAAATCTTGATAATACTTAAATTGAGGTTCCACAGTTTAAAGATGATAAGATTTTGAATCTGGAAAGATTATTCACTTAAGTGTAATGGGAACCCATAAGGAGCTCTAAGACATAAGATTCATAATTTTATCTGAACTAGAATAATTTATATATGTTGGTTAATTTTAACTCAGAAAGATTCTGATTTTCCATTTAAAAATCCCCTTTGAAAAAATCTGGGATACTTGAAATATGATTTTATTTCAACAACAGTGCCATATTTAATCCCAGTATTCCTAAAAACCTGTAATATTAAAAGGGGATTTGATATTTTCTTCTTAATTTCATTTTTTAATAATTGAGTGTAATTTTTTAGTCATAGCACATATATCTGTGTGGGAAAGCATTTCATTAATACATCAAAAATATTATCTAAACACATTAGTATGACAAATTAACTATGGTACAATAAAAATGTATTTGTAGGCTAAAGTAAATTAGCCAAATAAAGTTAAGATGGTATCAAATGTTATTTTTACTTGGAATTCTGTGAGCATAATTAAAATACCACTTGAAGACAGACAGTTTAATGATGAAGAAAAATTTTTACTAAATTGTAGCCAGCATTCCAGTTTATATGACATCAAAAACTGCTTTACCATTCTACATTCTGAAAAGAACAATTTCATTTGCTTAAAAAATTAAATATTCATTTTGAAGTATCTTTTAAACACCATTCCTTAGAAATTCTTGGAAGACTGTAAAACACTTCTGAATAAATACTAAATTTGCTATAGGATTTCAGTCTAATTTTACATTAATGACTGAATGGTGTAGCACAGATATATTATGTTAAACCATTTAGAATGAGCAATTTGATGAACTGTCACATCATAAGGCTGTTGATGAATGTAGCCTGTTGAAGAAACCCGATGAGATGAGTCCCTGCTTCTGAACTTTGGAGAATCATTGTCCCCTGATGGAGAACAAACCATGCTTCTAGCAAAGTGTTGGTATTTAAGGAAACCATGTTGAGGACTGAGATTCTGATGTAAGCTTCCCTGTTTTCACCCTGACTCTAACTGTTAATGATTTACCACCAACACTTTGTTGCCACAAATCAAATGCAAAAGTAAGCTCTGGTATTTCTGGTTATGTTTGCCAAGGGCCCTACTTTTGGGACCAGTCAACCCCCTCTACAGTATTTTGGTTTTATCTGAACTAACAGTAATCTCTATGGAGGTTGTAAAGACGTTTTTATATATGCTATATGCACATAGCATACAGATAGTCTTTAAAAATTATCTTTGTGGCAAGGTTGTACATGAAAGATGTGTATCTTTTTTTTCTTATCACCCAATCTAAACATCATACCGTGCCATAATTCCATCATATCGAGTAGTATTGTAAAATTGCTACCACAATCAGTTTCAAAACATTTTCTTCCTTCTTGTATTCTTTCATATGAGCTTCCCATCACCTAGCCCCCCCCCAACACACCTCCCTTGCCAGACACCCCTGGAACCCTTATTCTAGCTATTGTCTCTATGGATTCATCTACCCTAGGTTTCATCTTCCAAAATCATAGAGAAATACATGCTAGAGAGTCAAGAAGGCTACCAAGAAGGACAAAATACAATAGAGGTCAACCCCAATATGAAAGAAAAAAATCAGAAAAGAAAATATTAACATCCCATCCCTCAATTATGGTTAGAGGAAAGATAAAGATCTTGATGCCACTCATATTTTAATTGGTTTGGGATGCTACCTGGCATAATTTTAAAATGTGATTCTGATCGTTTTATCAAAAGGTGCCAGTGGTACATAAAGGCCAAAATGAAGTCAGAAGAGAAGAGGCGAAACCACCTACAGAATGGGCACTGTAAGTAGTGGGGTTACTCTTGCCATCGCTTGAAAACATTTAAGTCACCCGGCACCTTAAGTGTTCATTTTAAACTTGCATCCATTTATTTGAAAAGGGTGGGGA